GTCCGGGGAAATCAGGAATAACTTCACAGTGGAGATATGCAGTATTTGAGCTGAGGGCAGAACTGAAGCCTGCAATTATATTGCGTCCTTAATAGAACCCCCTTGGGATCCCATCTTAAGAGTTTTTGTCCTATTAGGAATGCTTGGTGAAAAACCAGTAATGGCATTTCCCCCAGGGCCCATACAGTTCTGAGACTGCCTAAAATTAGACTGCAAAGTCAGGACCAAGGTGTGTAACCTACCTGTGTGCCCTTAGGGATTCTGCCACCAGGATGGATCTCATCTCCTGTGCTGCTCAGGTCTGTCTCCTGAACAATTAGGCTGTGTCCCTAGACCTCTTTGTGGAGGATTGTGACAGGTGACTTACAGAACTGATTGCAAAGCACTTTTCTCTCCCTGAACAACCCCTGTTCCACATGACAGTAGCTGAAAAACCCCTTACCTGGGATGTTAGTCATAAGGTCTCTTGAGCAATCGCAAGTCAGCTTATTAGACAGTTATGGGTTTCTGTTAGCACTTGTTCCTATTGCCTGAGAAAATCTTTCCTGAAACCTTAGCAGGCATAACGGCTTCAGGAGAATTCAGAAACTCAGTAACCTTGTCTGGAAATGTGGGAAAGTCAGAGTGCTCTGGGCTCAGGTTCACATGGAGCTGGACCGTGGGGCTAGAGCATGGTGTTGATAAAGCCAGGCTCACAGGCGCGGTTCACCATGGCTCTGCTCTTTCCTGAGGCCACAGAATGATCACTCACCTCAGCCAGCTGCCTTGCTAATGTTTGCCATCAGTCTCAGAGGAACTGGATGGTGAGCACCGATAGGCCTCTCACGTCTAAAACCACTCTGGCAGCAGCCTCCCTCACATGTAGGTGACCATTGTCATCCTCACCACCCCTGTGCTCTTGCAATTCCAACTTCACATGGGTTAAATAAGTTTTGCTCCTTTTGTGTGTGAGTGGTGAGGAAATAGTTTCCACAAATCATATCCCACTGAAAACAGTCCTTGTGTGGGAAGTAGAAACACTCTGAATGTAGAAGGGGATGGAAGGCTGATTTGGGGGCCGAGGCCAGGTTTGGTTTAGAGGCAGAGAAAGTCTGCTTTGCTAAGTGGGCGTGCAGGTACTCAGCACACCTTGGCATTACACCTGCCCTCCCGTGTTCCACAGGAGCAGAGAGAAGGTTGTTTTCCCACTGATGTGTACCAGGAAAAGTCTGCTGCTTTAACCACACTTATCGGGGATTCCTGGAAGATAGGACTTGGTTTATTCCTGGGCATGTTCCTGTGACCACCATGTATCTGTGAGCCCTGCATGGCCAGGCTATATCAGCTCACAGGGTGGTGTGGGAACTGGTCACGCCAGTCCTGTCATCACGTCCTCCTCCAAATCAACAGTATGATCCAGGGCTGGACAGAGGCCAGTCTTTTCCTTTGGGTCAGGCGGGCCAACAGATGTTTTATTCTCAGATTGGGAATAGGAAAACAGAGCCATGAGAGTCCCACCTTAACCCCCTGTGAGCCTGAAGCTCCAGAACAGCAGTCAGCTCCAGCCACTGTGACAATACCACAGTGAGGGGGCACCACCACTCCCAACTGAATTCAAGTAGGAGGCCCAAGTCCATGGCGGCCACACACACCAGTTTAACTGCAGCCCCAGGACAGCGCAGTCACCTGCAGCACCTGTGTGATGTGCAGCTAGCTCCTCACTGAGGTTTGCCTCTGACCATACAATTCCTTAAAAAAGCAAAGCATTATTCTTAATTGCCCCAGATTGGAAGCAACCAAGATGTCCTCCAATAGGTGGATGGTTAAAAATGGTATACATCCATACAACGGAGTGTTATTCAGCAATAAAAAGAAACAAGCTTTCAAGCCACAAAATGACGTGGAGGAACATACTGCTAAGTGAGAGAAGCCAGGCCAAAAAAGCTACATACTGTACCATTCCAACTGTATGACATCTGGAAGGGGCACGACTGTAGAGACAGTGAAAAGATCAGTGGGTGCCAGGGGTTCAGAGGGAGGTGGGGAGGGATGAATAGGTGGAGCACAGGATGTTTTTATGGCAGCGAAACTGTTCTGTATGATACTGTAATGGTGGGCACATGATATTATGCATTTGTCATAGGAGAAAACCCATAGAACTATACACCCCAAAGTGTGAACCCTAATCTAAACTATGGACTTTAGTTAATAATAATGTATCAATATTAATTCATTAATTATAACAAAGGTACCCCACAAATGCAAGATTTTAATAATAGGAGAAACAGTGTGCAGGAGGAGAAGGAGCATATGGGAACTTTCTATACTTTCTGCACCATTTTTTTGTAAACCTAAAACTGCTCTAAAAAATAAAAGTCTATTAAAAAAAAAAAGAAAAGAAAGCAAAGCATAAATGTATCACCCAATAGGCAAGGTTGCTTCTCTCGTCCTCTGAAGACTGTGGGTGGGAGACTGGCCCTTGTGTCAGTCTGCAGGGCCCTACCCCAGGCCTCCCTCTCTAACAGCGCGGGGCATATGTGGTGATGGAGAGCAAGGTGCAAGAAGCCTGTGTTGGGGAGGGGATTGTTTTAGGAAAGCACTACTTTTTTTCTTTTTTAAATTTTATTGTGGTAAAACATATATAACAAAAAATTGCCATCTTCAGCATTTTTAAGTGTATGATTCAGTGATACTCATTACATTCACCATGTTGTGAAACCATCACCACTATCCATTTCCAAATGTTTTTCATCACCCCAAAGAGGAACTCAGCATACCTTAATCAAAAAATCCCCATTCCTCCCCTCCCTCCAGTCCCTGTTGTTGCATGCCATTGAGTCAATTCCAACTCCTAGCAACCATATAGGACAGAGTAGAACTTCCTCATAGGGTTTCCTAGGCTGAAATTTTTATGGGAGCAGATCACCAGGTCTTTTCTCCCACAGAGTGGCTGGTGGATTCGAACTGCTGACCTTTTAGTTAGCAGCTGAGCGCTTAACCATTGCACCACTAGGGCTCCTTTCCAGCCCCTAATAACCACTAATAAACTTTTGTCTCCATGCATTTTGATGTTCTACATTTGCCTGCTTCATGTAAGTGGGATCATATGATGTTTGTCCTTTTGTGTCTGACTTATTTCACTCAGCATGTTTTCAAGGTTCATCCATGTATAGTATGTATCAGAACTTCATTTCTCTTTATGACTGAGTAATATTCCATTGTATGGAAGTACCACATTTTGTTTATTCATTCATCTGTTGATGGACACTTGGTTTGTTTCCATCTTTTGGCTATTGTGACTAATGCTGCAGTGAAACATTGGTGTACGAGTATCTGTTTGAGTTCCTGCTTTCAGTTTTTTTGGATATATACCGAGGAATGGAATTGCTGGATCATATGGTAATGCTTGGTTTAACTTTTTGAGGAGCCACTGTTTTCCACATATTGCTTTTTATTTGCAGACAGTTTTATCAGTATCTGACCTTGTTCTTGCCTGCACTGAGGCTGCCAGGGCCTCCTATCAAACACTTCTGCTGCTAAAAACTCACTTCCCTCAAGTAGATTCTGCCATTCGTTGAGGGAGAAGTGGAAAGGGCCTTTGTCCTGGGCTCATCAGAATCTATTAGGCTTCCTGTGGCCCTGTGTACCTGGGGTACACCCAAACCCAACAAACCCTGTCTTTAGTCCCTTTTGTCCTTTTCTTGGTTATTAACATCCCTGCCGACCCATTGAACTCATTCTACCTCCTCTCCCTGGTCCACCTCTAAGTGGTCATCAAGCTTTATTATCGATCTTGCTTTTACTGAAGCTCTGTTGACTGACCCCTTACTTTCCATTCCTTTTGTCACTTATCCTAGCTCAAGTCATTAACCTCTCCTCCTTGGACTATCTCAGCTGCCTTTAGCTGATCTCTTCTGTTCAACTGGGAACCTTTTACTCCCTTAATTAGAGAGCTTCAGTGGGTCCCTTTTGTCTAATATCTAAATGTCAAATTTTCTTAGCATGGCATTCAAGGCTTTTCACAGTTTACATCTAATTTTCTTCAGCCCTGGGACCTTCATTGGTTCCTGTGATCCCATGCTGGCTCTCCTCCAGCCTCACTATACCCCATGGGGTTCCCATAGCCCACCATGCATGTCGACACCTTGGTACCTGCCCTTGTACATCTGCTCCATCTAGCTACCCATGGCAACCTTCCCAAATCCCCCTTCTCTGAATGGAAAACTCTGACTCATGCTTTAAGACTCAATTTCCACTTCTATTGCGAACTATCCCTATCTCCTACCAGAAGGAATTAATTGTTCCCTCTAATGTTTTTCTCACAGGTCTTGGTTTATACCTCCATCATGCTACTTGTATTATACAAAAGTAATTGGCTACATATAGGTATATATATATATTTGAACATGCTTTTATTGAGTGTACTATTGTAGGCAATGATGAACCAAATCAACTTGTTCCTTACCCTCATGGAGCTTATAGTCTAGAAAACATCTGTTTCCACATTACACTGTGAGTTCCTTGGGGATAAAGATCATCTTTGTGCACTTGATACCTATCATAGTCTCTGACACAGTAGTCGCTTGATCAATGAATGCTCATCAAGTAAACGCCAATGGGCAAGAGATGGGTGCCAGAGTGGAGGATGGGGGAAAGGTGGTGGATGGATTACTTTATGGGCACGGAGTAAGTGGGAACCCTGCAAAAGTCACATTCTGCCCTCAGTTTCTAAAGGGCAGCCTACTCTTTTTAATGTGTGGTTAGCCTATTGGTATGGACTTAACATCTAGGAACTATGAGGAAAATTCTGAGTCTTGATATAAGCTTTTTTCACAGATACTCCGGAGCCCTGGAGAGCCTGGATGGCAAAGACCATGAGTGGTTTATAGACCATAGATGTTCTTTTTGAAGAAAAGCTCACTCAGTCTCACCAGACCATACTGTGGTCTGAGTCTCCATCCCCTGAGCCAGTTCTTCCAAGGGGATGGCCTATCACATGCTCCTATTTTTTTTTATTTCAGAGATCTGAAATTGGACAACGTTCTGTTGGACCATGAGGGCCACTGTAAGCTGGCAGACTTCGGAATGTGCAAGGAGGGGATCTGTAATGGTGTCACCACAGCAACGTTCTGTGGCACACCCGACTATATTGCTCCAGAGGTGAGTGCAACGACTTGCTGCAGCTTTTGAAATTTGAGCTCCACAGTAACCCTGACAGGAAATACCATAGACTGCTTTTGCACTGCAGCTTTGTGGGCAGGGCAGGAAAGCTGAGGCCTCCAGGCCAGCTCGCTCATGGCTTGTTGTTTGAATGATGGCTGAAAATGTCCTAGGTACTTCTAAATAGGAATTTGAGTTAATTTTTTTTTTTTAACTTTGCAGTTGCTATAGGCTTTAGCCATGAATGAGGACAAAGTATGCTCCACTTACAGCTATTTATTTTTCTTTTAGTCTCCATTCAGTGCTTTAATCCTTACTCTACTTAGCAGAACCACAGAAAAGCTCTTGAATTGTTCCAATATGAGTGAGCTTAGTCTCCTCCTCCTTATACCAGTTCCAGTTGCTGTCGAATCAATTTCAACTCATGACGCCCCCATGTATGTCAGAACTATGCTCCGTAGGGCTTTTAATGGCTGATTTTTCAGAAGCAGATCACCAGGCCTTTCTTCCAAGGTGCCTCTGGGTGGACTCCAACCTCCAACCTTTCATTTAGCAGCCAACGGCATTAACTATTTGCACCACCCAAGAACTCCCCAGTTCCTTATAGACTGATACATTTCCAAAACTCTTTCTGTTTTGGAGCATTACGTGACCTTACTTTGTCCTGGCATGGGCCATTGGCTAAGCAGACCATAAGTGTTTGGTCAGACCTAGATGAGAAAGTGCCTCCACATTGACCACAGGGAAAACAGAAACTCCATAGAGGTGGAACAAAACATGCATGCCAGCAAAGGAGACTTCATTTTCTTATTTTGATATTTCCTGATTCATTCTTTCCTCTAGTTGTTGAGAACAGAACTTCATGTTTACTATCAGATGTATGCAGCATTTCTCATGTTACCCCCTTTGCCCAGATCCTGCAGGAAATGCTTTATGGCCCTGCCGTGGATTGGTGGGCAATGGGAGTGTTGCTCTACGAGATGCTCTGTGGGCATGCGCCCTTTGAGGCAGAGAATGAAGATGACCTCTTTGAGGCCATACTGAATGATGAAGTGGTCTACCCTACCTGGCTCCATGAAGATGCCACAGGGATCCTAAAGTCTGTAAGTTTGGCTTCACCCACCAGCCTCTGACCTATTGCAAGCCAGCCTATCGTATGTGTTTCTTATGTTTTTTTTTTTTTTTTTAATACTTCCCAACAGCAAGCTACAAGCTCTAACCAAAATTTGTGTTTTAATTTAAAGAAGCAAAGAACCAGAGTTCTGTCAGGCTTGTCCTCTCTTACGCAATACTTATTTCTGGGCCAACTGCAATAGCAATTGATAGCTTTGTTTGCCGTATGTCAAGTATTCCTAGCACTTGTGGCTTTTGGGTGAGGTACTGCTCCTTTTCACTCAGCCCACAGCAAGCAACCCCCAGGTCTGTTACTGTATTTTCATGAGCAGTATCCAAGGAACAGGGTGAAGGGGCTTTTCTCTTAATGCTGAAAGAGGAGAAGGCAGGTTTTCCAAACCTCTGTAGTTCTTTTTTGCCTCCATGTTATCTTGCAAGGCAGATGCCAGGCTCAGAATTCAGATGCAACATGATAATGTCGAGGAAGTCTTTTCTACATGTATTCAAATCTCTGTGTTGAAAGCCTTACTTTGAAGTGAGGAAGAAATACGGAATTGGTGCCTTTACGATGAAAATAAGACATCACACATAATCTGGGTTAATTCTATAACCACATTAAAAACCAAAAACTAAACCTCTTGCCGTCAAGTCACTTCTGACTCATAGCAACACTATAGGACAGAGCAGAACTGCCCCCATAGGGTTCCTAAGGCTGTAATCTTTACGAGAGCAGACTGCCACATCTTTCTGCTATGGAGAGGCTGTTGGGTTGGAATCACCGACCTTTTGATTTGCAGCCAAGTGCTTAACCACTATGCCACCAGGGCTCCTCATAACCATATTAGTTGAAGTAAAAAATATATATACATATTATCGCCTATTATGTGCACAAGGGTATAAAGATGAATAAAAGATCAGTTCTTCAAGCAAAGAAAAATCAGAATCATCCATTTAAATAGTATCTATGTGCTAAGAATTACTTTTCTTCAAGTCATATCCTTTCTAGTGATTTGAGACAAAAAGATAAAGTTGGGAAATATTAACTATCTTGTTGAAGGACTTGCCTTTGTTTAAAAACCTCCAGCCATATAATTGGTGCCGTTTCAAGGACACTTTATATGCAGGTCACTGTGTACTGAGACTGAAGGGAGGGTTGTCCCTGAGAATTCTCTCCATCACTACAAGAAAAATAATCACAGAAATCTCATATTGCCATAGAGAACTGTAATTCATAATTCATAACTTGATTCTCAAGCCCAGGTGCCAACACTTTCCTAAAATCAAGGAAGCATACATCTCATATAAATAAAAGGGAAGTGCTTTAAGACTCTACCAAAATGTCTCCTATCTAGCATGTTTTCATAAGAACAATTTATTTGTATATTTAGTAGAAATTTTAGACCAAGGAAACCAAGAATGTGGCTTTTGTATTTTTATGAATGAAAAAATCAAGGAGAAGGGCTCATCTTGTATTGCCATAAGTTTCTTAACTTACTGAAGGGGAATTTACTCACCTAATGACCTAGGCTGTGATAACGCAACCTTATCACGCTTTAGAGACTGGATTATTTTGCATTTATTAGTTTCCCAGTTCCGTGGCCCAGAATCTGTTGCTTTGTGAGTCTCAAGGGATTTCAACTTCCTGTGGCCTGCAACAACCACAGTTATAATTCTAACGTTTTTCATGATGAACATATTTAGTCCTGTAACTGTTGTTAATTTAATATTTTTTATTGTGGTGAAAATATACATAACAAAACATACACCAATTCAACAATTTCTATATGTATTATTTGGCGACATTGACTACATTCTTCATATTGTGCAACCATTCTTGCTGTCCTTTTCCAAATTATTCCACCACCATTAACATAAACTCACTGCCCCCTAAGCAAAAACTCCCCTTTCTCCCCCTCCTTCTCATCCCTGGAAACCGCTAATAATTTTTGGTTTCTATGTATTTGCTTATTTCCTATAAGTGAGATCATATAGTATTTGTCCTTTACAATGACTAATTTTGCTTTCCGTAATGTTTTCAAGATTCGTCTATCTTGTGGCATGTATCAGGACTTCATTTCTCTTTGTGGTTAAGTAGTATTCCATTATATGTGTATAACACATTTTGTTTATCCATTCATCTGTTGATGGACATTTTGGTTGTTTTTTCCTTTTTGGCTATTTTGAATAGGACTGCAATGAACATTTGGTGTATAATTTAACATTTTAATATTTAAAATTTAAAAGAAGGACCCTAGAGTTTATAATTCAAATGAAAATGCTAGTTGAGGCTACAAAGAAATACGTATATGTGTTGTTGGCCTTGGTTTATAAAGGTCACTGTGCTTGGTACCATGGAGGGTAGAAAATCAAAGATAGTTTGTGCCTCAAGGAACTTTAATTTTCTCATAGTTCAGTGTTTCTCTAACACAGAAGTACCTCAGACCTGAATCTAAGACTAGTAGAGACCTTAAGACGTCATATCACCATTTGGATTGGACATAACTCGTATATGCATCTCAATCTTTTCTTCAAATTTCTCGAAGTCCTAAACCTCAGTCCAGTGCTTCAGAATCATCTTAAGAGAGTTGTACCCAAAATTAAATCAGGGACCTAGGACCAGTCCTTCCAGAACCTAGAACAGAAACTAAGCAAGGTTAAGATTCAGATGGAAACGTCTGTTTACACTGTTTCTTCTTAACCAGATACACCAAATTATTTTAAGCTATATCTTTAATGTAAAGATTAATATTTTTGGTAACTAGAACAAAGCCTCTATCTTACCGAGTAATAACCTTCACAGTCTTTATTCTGAGAGAGAACAGAGCCTCTGGTGCCTAAAGAGATAATAATCTTCAGCAGAGACTGAGTTGTTCCCTCTCTGTGCAGATTCACTTGTGGGTAGCTGTGAACTTCCACACCTTCTTTATTTCAGCTCCTTCAAATGCCAGCTGGTTAGTTGGATACAGACAGCACCTGAGATGGTTTTGTGTCATTTATGTAGCACTAATTTTCCTAAATGGCACTCAGGGTTCTCCATGGGACCTCCTCCCCATAATGCCAAAGAAGAAGCATGAGCTTCAGACCCACAGTTCCAGACTTGCATCCCAGCTCTGGTGTGTTCTGACAGAGTGATCTTGGTGAGCTACTCACCTCTCTGAATCTCAATGTCCTTGTTTGTAAAATACGGCCAATATAATCCATGCCATATATTTATTGCCAGGATTGAATAAAATAATATAAATTGAATAAAATAACCACCTAGGCACACAATAAGCATTCTCTTTCTTCCTCCTGCAAAGAGTGTGTCTTAAAAATAGTTTTCTGAGAAACACTTGAAAGTTGTCAGATAAAATTACTAGAAAACACTCAATGAGAGAATATCAGGGACAATTTTGTACATTTCAGCATCTATGACTAAAATCGCCTCATATGCATATGAAAGCTGGACAATGAATAGGGAAGACTGAAGAAGAATTGATGCCTTTGAATTATGGTGTAGGCAAAGAATATTGACTGTACCGTGGCCTGCCAGAAGAATGAACAAATCTGTCTTGGAAGAAGTACAGACAGACTGCTCCTTAGAAGCAACGATGGCGAGACTTCGTCTCATGTACTTTGGACATGTTATCTGGAGGGACCAGTCCCTGGAGAAGAACATCATGCTTGATCAAGTAGCAGGTCAACGAAAGAGAGGAAGACCCTCAGCAGGTTGGATTGACACAGTGGCTACAATGAAGGGCTCAAGCATAGCAATGATTGTGAGAATGGTGAAGAATTAGGCAGTGTTTCATTCTGTTGTACATAGGGTCTCTGTGAGTCAAAGCCTACTTGACGGCACCTAACAACAACATGCCTAAAAAGAAAAAGCTTAAATGCTGTAGAAGAGAAAATTCATATATTCTTTTCAGAGGGCTGAGATACATTTAAATGGAATTGAGATCAAGGGAAAGAAAGAAAACCAAGCAGTTAAGAGCATTCAAGACATGGTGAGAAACACTGAAGAGGTCAAGGCATCAGAGCATGGTGGTTAAGAACCTGCCTCCACGGCATAGCTGTCTGAGTGCAAATCTTGGCTCTTTTGCTCTCTGGCTGCATGACGTTGGGCAATTTGGGTAATTTTGCCGTGCCTCAGTGTCCTTACCTGTACATTTGGGGTAAATACCGCCAGGTCTACTGCGTGGATGAAAGGAGATAGTGTGTGGGGCTGCTTGAAGCAGTGCTCAGCACAGAGTCCATGCTCAGGAAGTGGTCAGCACTGTTGTCAGTGAGAAGTTAACACCTGAAATGATTTTTAGACTTTTTGCCCTTATCTCTGAAAAATTATCACTTTCTATTTGTCTATTGTATTATGAGAAGGGTTCAAGATATCAAGTCACACTTTAAAGACCATTGAGACTACTTTCTGGTTCTAACTGCAACTCGATGTAATTAGAACAATATACCGTAGTCCTTTTATTACTAGAAGAAGCCTTGGAGATTGTCCACTCTAATTCCCTGGTTTTATAGATGAGAAGACTGTGAGGCAGAGAAAAGTTGTGATTTACCAAAGGCACATTACTTGAAACAAATAAACAGCCACAACAACAAAAACTGGAATTGATTCTAGATTCTCCTCTCCCAGTCTAGGGTCCTGACCTGGACTGTATCTGCCCCTTCCCCATTATATCTTCTGCTTCCCATTAACAAGTGACTTTTACCCTTAGATTCCCACATTCCTAGTTGTCAAATTACTCCCTGGTGTGATCCTTTCCTGTTGTAGCAGGAAGATTAGCCACCGAAGGAAGCTGTGTGCTGTGTACTTTCTATCTACATGGCAGGAATTTCTCACCTATTTAACTTTCAATAAAGTAAGATATAATGTTTATGGTAATACTCAGTTGTAATGTTATTTTAAAATTGTGCATTTGA